GATCACCAGCATGTCCAAACCCCTGTGTAAGCCTCTCCTTCATCCTCACCTWMCAGATCTGCCCACAACAACAGCAKCCTTGCAGAGRAATGTGRGAACCAYARAGGGACACCACTCAACCACAGATCGGGGTGAGAGCAGTGACATGGAGCACACAGTGACAGGTGAGTGCCCAGGCCAGGGTTATTCATCTCAGTGGCAGGAGAAGACTGAGGCAGGGAGTTTGCCCTTCCGTAGCAAGATCAGACACCTGTGCTGAATATGAATTGTGTCTTCATTGTTACAGAGAGGAAACACCTTCCCTGCTTGAGAGTGTGCCTGATGATGGGAGGGGGCAAGAATCTGTCCTCTATGTCCCTGTGGGACCAGAACTTTTGAGGTGCAGAGATTCAGCAGGAGGTTGCCTGGGGCAAGAGACCTGGCACAGGGCTCCAMACCTCGGGGAGTTTCTGGGGCAGCTGTTGATGGTAAAGCTCCCAGGCCAGCCAGRKAGTMACYATRGGAGAGARGGAGTGAAAGAGTCCTCTGGAAATYTRGGCAAGTGCCAGAAGGACAAAGCCAATGCATTCCCAGGCCACRCTGTAGCCAGACATGATGCACCAAATCAGCCAGGGCTGCCAGGAACSTCTGGGGCAATGGTCAGGGAGGGGGACACGAGTGCCAAATGCTGCCCAAGGTTTGCTTGCAGGACACACACAGGATAGATGAGTCCTGTGCTGGCAGAGCAGACTCATTTTCCCAGTGCCCAGGGCAGCTCCCTAGGGGCTGTGATACATCCACCATTCTCCACTGGCAGATCTGCTCCCAACGATGCTGGTCTCCAGGATGGACACTGCTCCGGTGGGWCCTTTCACAGACACAGGTGAGTGGAATCTTGGGCTGGAAAACACCAGATTTGCACGGGCAAGGGCAGGGTGATAAACGCCATCCCACAGCTCTGCATGTGGCTGCTGTGCTTGTGGCAGATTTGGCTGTAGGGAATAAACCCCTGGCATGCCAAACACYGGACACCATCCAGGCAGGAGCTGTGCTCTGGCTCCCGCCACACGCCGTTTGCTGGGGGTGTTTGCAGCCTGAAGTTTGCTGTATGTATCCATCCAGGGATGCTCCGTTCCTGAAGTGTTMAAGGCCAGGTTGGACGGGGCTTGGAGCAAWCTGSTCTGGTGGAAGGTGTCCCTGTCCATAACAGGGCGTGGAACGAGATGGGCTTTAAGATCCCTTCCAAACCTTACTGGGATTCTGGGACCGCCAGGAAGCGGCTGAACCCCAAGTGGCCTCGGCCCCGCCCTCGGTTAGGATTTAAAGGCCGTCCAAAGCACTGCCCGCTCCGGGCTGTGCGGCGGGGCCGGTCCCCGTGTCCCCTGGCCGCGGTGACAGCGCTGTCCCCCCGCAGG